TTCAAAGCTATTCCGAGCAAGCTTATGCTGGTCACTAGGTACCTTTAGTTTTGTTTAGTGTGTGTTGTTCTTGGCTTAAGGTATTTAGCATGGGACTTTGTAATTAGTACATTTTAGATTTTTATACCCTTTTTATTGCTTTGCTGTTGCGTTACAGTAAAAGAAAAAATAAACAAAGTGACGCTTGTAGGACGAAGGGGCGCAAGTTATAATCTGATATGTACTTACACTTCTTCGTCTTGCAAGTGACGAAAGATTTGTGCAAATAAGAAATATTTTTGTCAGAGCAAAATGTAAGATCCAAAGTAGGTGGACATTGAAGCTCCTGATCGAAATATTTTACCCAAATGGTTTTCACCGTCCAACTCAAGAATAACGGGTTAATTTGTTCACAGACTACCTCATGCTTGCTGAGATGGTAACACAAACTCCATTGCGTTTTAACAATTGGCGACTTGGAACTCAATTGTCCCAAAAAGAACTTGAAATTTTAGCTGCGGGCGCTAAACACCATTTTGATATGGTACTCAACGTTTTGAGAGCGATGCCGAACAAAGTGATCCTGGTTATTCGGTGGGTTTTGTTATAATTCAATTTTGTACAATTCCAAATAAATGTAGTTAATGGTGGTGGGTTTGTAGAATTTAATTAGCCTTGAGGTTGTGGTTTTTTCACTTCTTAAATTTGTCTAAGAAAAGTTCAGTAAATTATGAGAAATCATTGATTTATTTACAAAAAAAAAAAAAAAAAACAGAAAATTTGTTGTTCATACAATCAGAGAGAATGCAGACATCAATGATTAGTGAATTTTAAAAATATGTTTGTTGATTGAAAAGATTATTTGAATTTTACATTTAATAATTAGCCTAGTCTTTAAAAGTAATAAAATATACAAGACAATTTACTACTTTTGAAAATCCTGTCTGTTGCAGAAATTGTGGTGTTGGAGCCATTTTTAGAGTTTTTTTTTCAGCTTTTCAGTGTTTTTTTTCCCACCCTGCTTTCTTATTTACTTTGAACATGTCCAACTGTTATGGAATATGGACACCATTGTATTTTCTTAATGAAACTACAAATACAAATAAAGAATATTTTGATTTGATTTGAATAAAAGGGTCAGACAGAATTTTAAATAGATTGCTGAAAAGTGAAAAGTATAGGGTGTGTAGAATAAGGCTAGTTCTAGTTAAAATTGAGCTTTGGTCTAAAATTAATTGGACAATCTCAATTTCAATGAGTTGTGTGCAGAACTTGCTAAAAGTTACTAACAGTAATCTGATTATGAATTTTTTTTTTTATCAAATTTCCTATATAGGGAATAACCTATTAAATTTTATTACTAGGCTATTTTGCTGGAAAATTCACTCTACGAACCTCCTTATAATAAATTATTAGTCTCATTTAGCAATGACTTTGTTAATCTATGTCAAAGAATAGAATCCAAAATAGGTATAAGCTACAAAATTAATGATTTGTAAGTTTTGTAAGCTTTTCAGTTCAACCATTTATTTGCTCATTAACTCCATAATAACGAACCAAGGTGCTAAATAAATACTAGCACCATTAATATCCAGGCCTACTGTTTTTTTTGTTTTGTTTTTTATTCAATATTAACATTCAACTAACATTTTTAAGCTGTTAAACAATGATTTTCTTGCAGAAACATCAACACGATTCGCAGCATTGCGAGAGGTCACGGGGACCCTGTCGATCGTTACACTGTGATGGCAAGAAGCGCGACTCAGGGTGCGTTTGTGTCAGAGACCTCCGGTCTGAACGGACACTTACGTGGACTGCTGGGGCGACTGCACTTTGAGATCAGACTGTGGTATGTGATGACGACTGTGGTTATTTCCCCTAGGACGCCCGGTCAAAACTGTTTTCAGATTACTTCAGGCTAAGCCTAGCCATTACAAAAGGCTCCACTTTGCACCATACACAAAGTATTGTATGCCTTTTCTCTTAATTTCTTACCTTACTCTTACTTTGTTATAATTGCTGTCAGTGACAGTGAAAAATATTCTTATGTTTTGTGTATAGTGTAAAGTTTTGTGTACCAGTTCAAGTATGCCTGCTAAACCTCACAAAAAATCCTAATAATTAGGTTCTTGTGCTTTCTGTTACATCCTTAACCTCAAATCAATCTTAAGGTTGGATGTAGGATCCTTGTAATGTAATAGATTATCCCTCATTTCATCCCTTTTCCCTGAGGCGCAAAGTGACTCTTTTCAACCCTAGTTCAAGTTTCAAGCCAAGGGTTTTTTGCCCCTCTGATCAACTATATTTTTTGTCATATTACAACATAATTGAACAAATTAAGTTAGAAAAAAATACTTTAGTACATATAACCTCTCATAATGACTTTCAACTTGTTATCAATTTTTTCAATGCAAACAAACAGCAGTTTAGTAAGTAATTCAATCATTTTGTCTATTACGATTGTTTGAGTGTACATTATACTAACGATATCTCAAACTATTGACAAGAATGCAACACTAAGCTACAACCTATTAAATCAATCCTAATTTTGATACATGTGATCGCTTACTCTCAAAGTTTACAACAGCTGACTTTTACACCCTAGGGACTTAAAAGGTTTTTTACTATTTAGAAAAAAGCTACTCCGCAACGCTGTATACAAAATGGCTGTTTTTGTGGCTGTATGACGGAAAAATATATGAATTGTATTTAACAGTTGCTACTTTTACAGGTGGGACAATGTGAGAATGTTGTTGATTCGGCTGTCACTCAGAACACTACAAGTGGTGGGTCTCGCCCCAGACATGGCTGTCATCATGGATCAGTCCTTTGACAATCCTCATTAATATTATATACACAACTTGATAGTATTATTTGTTATATATTTTATTGTTGGAGTGTATATACACATTTTATTTTATAATATGTTGTTTTTCTATCCCCCCTCCATTTGTAACTAACAATGTACAGTACTAATTACAAAATATCTGTAAGCCTATACCACGAGTATAAGCCACTAAGCTAGGCATTTTTTAGGAACGAATGGTCTTAAGTCTCTCTTCATTTAATGTATTGTTTTAGGGGTTAGAAATCTTTTAACCCTGCATTTCTCCTACCCTATATGTCTTGATCAAGGTATGTGTGTGAACCTAACATGTTAACATTGTGTTAAGCTTACGAAGAAGCGAGTATGCATGAGCGTTCATCTACTTTTACATTAGGGGGGTCGGAGTTACTTGGGTACTAGCCCCCAGCAAAGAGAGTGACAAAGAGGGGCCTCCCCAGGAATATGGTTAAAATTTAGGTACCAGAATGTTTCATTTTACACACTCCTTGGTCATGTAAGTGAGTTAATTTTATGTTTTATCTGCACAATCAACAAAAAATTAATTAACATGGGAAATTATAGGGAGGGCTCGAGCCCCCTCCCCCCAGGCCATATTGATGCAAACCGGCATAACAGTGTAGAAATGAACTGTACTGTACTGGATAAATTTCAAGGGACAGGACACTGGGACCGGGTATTAGAAAGACATCACTACATTGGTTTCACATTTCTCCAATCGACTGAGCCACCAAGACCCTATGGATTGAATTTTTAACACACGTGCACTTATTTTATAATAACATTTTGTGTTTCTCAATATAATATATCAATCTTGAGGTGGGATGTAGGATCTTCCTAATGTAATATATTATCCCTCATTTCATCCCTTTCCCCCGAGGCGTAAAAAGACTCTTTTCGACCCTAGCTCAAGTTTCAAGTCAAGCCAAGGGGTTTTTGCCCCTCTGCCTCTGATGTTTGATGAACTATATTTTTTGTCATATTACAACATGTTTTACAAAATATTATCAAGATTTATGATGACCTTATAATAATTGAATTTGATTATTTAAACGGAGATTAAATAAAACATGAGTTTGGATTAATTTTTTTAGAATGAACAATGATAAGATGATGTAGGTACCTATGGTAATTGGATTGAAAATTAATGGTGGATCATGGTGGATGTTTGATTGCATAGAGTAGATCATTTTGATGGGAGCAAGTGTGAACTATACATAGACATGTATGGACAGTTATAGAATACCTATATGGACCACCGGAATACTCCCCCCAAGCAGGTTCCTACGTCATGTTGACATCAGAGATCGGGGAGGGGCAGTTTTCCAGTCACGAACGAACACTCAAGTTTCGTTGTCATACAATCACACTGTTCAATGTTCAAAACTAACCTATTCTAAGTAGGTAACCAACCAAACCAAACTTGCTGTAACATTTAAAATGCTGTATGATATTCCCCACGTGCCTTTTTGTTATCAAACGGAATTACTCAAATTAAAATTACATAGCATCACATTTTGCCCAGGGGGGGGGGGGTATTCCAGCCTCGGACCCGGCTCTCATCTTGGTTAGTTGGCAGATTTCATGGTCACGTTTCCCCTTTGGGGGGGTCCCCGGGGGGAGGGGTAGTATTCCGCATCCTCGTACCTACCTATTATATCCACGGCCGCCTTTAAGGTGGCCGTGGTTATATCGTGTGACAAGAGCTGAGTGGAAGATTGTTGAGTAGGCGGGGCTTATTGTTGAGGGGATAGTGCTGTGACGAAAACTTGCTGTTATGGATCGTCCATCCCTAGACTAAAAAGACTTTTGTGAATACTTTAAAAATTGGCTTTGCCGTTGGAAATACAAAATCAAAATAATAACACTGGAAGCCCAACGTGTATTTGGATCCAGGATCAATTTTGCTCAGGATCGGACCAGCAGCCTCCAGATTTTAAGACAAGAACTTTGACAACTAAACTGACCACGAATTGAACCACTGAGTTTAGTTTTTGTGAAAAGAAGTATTACCCCACCAGCACACTTAAATACAAATAATCAACAGTATATCATATCATACATGTATACAAAAATGTGCTACTTTAATTGTGCATCAGAATTTTGACTGAAAACTTGCGCATGTGTTGTGTTGTGTCTAACCTGCATTGGCGTCTGTCTCTGACTGTCTGTCATCTTGAAAGCTACCAAAACTCTGTCCATGTCGGTGTAATAAGGAAAATTGCTCGAAATAATGAATTTATGTTGTAAAATATTTATTCATTTTGTTGATTGATTATTGATTGGCGTTAAGACTCTCAACAGTTCATTGATATTAGATCTATAAGTTTATAGTCCGAAAATGACGTGGGGATTTGTTACTTGTGGTCCTAATGAAGCTCTTGTCGTCTCTGGTAAGTTTACTGTCATTTTGTTGGGGGGAGTGGTTTGTTTATATTTCTTAATATTACTGGATTCAAGAAAAGTATGTTAAGCTTACAATATACTTTTTATTTAAACTCTTGGTTAAAGATTTCAAGAACTCACATTTCAAAATTGAATATCTTCAGCCATGCCATACATAGACTAACGTGTGTTTTATTTATGCTTCAGCTTAGTTATGGAACTGCAACTGAGTGGCCCAGCAATATTTATAGATTAAGTTAGGCCTACTAAGTTAAGTTTAGGCTTACTTAGTCCACTATAAAAAATTAGAGAACCGTATCATATTTTTTTAAAGTTTGAATGAAGGATAGGTCTAGCCCTAACTTAATTCATATTGCGGGAACATATTATTAACTTAATCAAAATAGGCTAGCTGGTTAGCTGAGTAAAATATAGGCCTAACTTATTCGATTGTTTAGTAAGTTAATAAGTAAGTTAGATTGCTGGTTCAATCCTGAGACAACGTCTATAATATAATATTAATAAGTTAATTCAGTGTCTTATTAATAGTTCGAAACTGGACCTTCATCATTTGGCTTTTGATAAATAATCCTTGCTAGTTAGGTACTAGCTGATCTTCGCCAGTAACTTAACAAAGCTGTCATCTAATTTATCATACACTCATCGCTCATCTTTGCCTTAAAATATGCACCCTTTTGTGTCATTTCTGTAAAAAAAAACTCTCTAGGCTATTAGGCCTATCTAACTTATTTCTCTCTTCATCTAATGTAGGCCTATATATCCACTGGCCAAATCAAAGCAAACCAAAAAGTGTTTGGTAGAAAAAGAGCAAACTACTCACTCAGGTGAGGCCATACTACTCACTGACAGAGTAGGCCTACTTTGAGGAGGAATGAAAAGGGCCAATATTTTTTACGACCACGGCACAGGGACGCTTCCAGTGGGGAAAAACAAAAACAAATCCATGCAATAGGCCCAAAGCCTTATTTGCAGGAATGTTAAAAATTCCCCTATTGAATTGTAGCTAGGTACATTTTTAACAAATATACCTAATATTAAAATGTTACAACCCTCCCCCCCTTCCCAAACCAAAAGGATGCTGGAGCACCTTACAAATTTAACCTAACATTTTTTCTAGGATGCTGCTACAACAAGCCTTTGCTTGTGCCAGGAGGACGAGCCTTTGTATGGCCTACCATACAATGTGTTCAAAGGTAAGGAATTATTTATTCTAGCCTTCTAGTATTAGGCAAAAAGAAAGCTGACATTAATTTTTTAATGAGTCAAAATCTTACTTTGACCATCTTGTTTTGATGTACCTAAACTTACACATTGTTAATGAGAAATAAGAACAGAGTAAAGAAAATTAAAGTTCAGCTGAGTTTAACCTCCTTTTTATTATCTGAAATTTAAACAGAAGGGAACTTTGTGTACTAGAAGTGCCAACTGGTGTGCCGATTCGGTAATCTTAAAACCCGTTGGTTGCATTTAGGGGTTTTAAGTGTATCTACTTTGAAAATGGCCTTAATCATATAGCAGTCTTAAAATTTTTGGTTTGGTGAGCGGTGTTAACACTTCGGCCCAGTAAAATTTCGGCCAAACTCAAATTTGTTAGCCTGCCATAAATACCTCATAAGGGTGTTGTCAGGCACCTTAAACGGCCTTTTAGTAAAAAAACTTTTAAACCATCATCCCCACTTTCTAAGTTTTCAATTAATAAATTGGTGATATGCACCAGCTATTACAACAACTCTTCATGATGCACTGATGTAGATTTAGCGTAGAGGGCAAAAGACGGTGCTCAAAGTGAAAAGAAGTTGGCTGATGCTGCGTGAACTGCTTGGAATGGAAACGGCGCGCCAACATTGTTGGAAGCTGTGCTCAAATCAACTTGAGCTTAGCTCCCAACAGTGTTGGGACAAAATGTTTAAAGGAAACGGAGCATAAGATTGATTATTGAGCATGCCCCTGGTACTTTATAAAAGTATACCTATTTATTTACAAAATTGCACTAAATTTTTATTCCTCGGTTGAACATGGCAGCTTTTTTCCAGACAAAAACTTAATTTGATTGTTTCCAGAATTTCCCTCAACACCATGACACTACAGGTGGACTCCCCGACAGTGTACACAAGTCAAGGCGTTCCGATCTCAGTCACTGGCATAGCACAGGTAAATACAACCAATGAAGTGTTGATTTATACTTTCTACCCTATACAGAGTATAAATTAGAAACGTCTAAGTTTTGGGTGGAAATACACGTTTTGGGCCCCCCTGAGCCAAAAGTGGTTTTCCAAGTCATGTTTGTGTGTGTGTTTGGATGTGTGCAGAGCTACACATGTGGTACAATTTTGGTGAAATTGTATACGTAGTAGGCCTACTAATCTATTTTTTTTTTTTTTTTTTTACAGTTGGCCTACTACCTACTGTAATATTTTACATGTTGGAGTTTTAGTTATGATTTTACCTTCTAAAATATAAGTGTTATTTTGTCTCCATAATTAAGAAGTTATTTGTTTCACAAGATAATGTTCCATCTGTGCCGTGAAATTGTCATATCATATCATCACATTTTCAAGGTGAAGATTCAGGGACAAAATGAAGAGATGCTGATGGCAGCTTGTGAACAGTTTCTGGGAAAGTCAGATCAGGAAATTCAGCACATTGCGTTGGCAACACTGGAGGGGCATCAGCGAGCAATAATGGGCAGTATGACTGTTGAGGTTGGTAGCATTGCTATCATAGCAGTATCTTTTACCTGACATATTAATATAGATTATAGACGTAACTGTGTTATAAATATTCGTAGAGGCAGTTCCCCTGTAGTTTTTAAAATTCTAGAAGAAAATATACCTATTCTCTATTATGTGTAATGCTTGATATATTCAGTTCCATTTAGACAGGAGGATGGACTGGCAGTACAGTACAGATTCTGTTTAGGTGATTATTCTATTTACCATTGAGTTATTGATTAATGCTATCTAGAACAAAATATTGACATAGATAACAAGACTCGTGGTTTGATCTGTTTCCCTTAGAAAAAATGTAACAAAATAATAATAACAATGTCTTTATTGCTGTCAGACAATTTTAGACTGTATAGCTAAATGCCAATTTTGTGAGTCTTTGGCTCAGTCGGTAGCGCTATGGACTTTGGGTCCAAGGCAGCGATGTCACAGGTTCGTATTCTGGTACTCGCCACTACTTTTCATCAGTACACTTCACCCTTGTACGGCTCACTCCTTGCTTTGCTGGATACGATTCACTCACAGGCCCTTAGGCTATGTGGACGGGCACATGCAAGGTTGAAAGAGGCCACCATACTAAAAAAAATAAGCACTTAAGCTTGGCAACATTTCTTATTGATAAATCTAAAAAATACAAAGTTATTTTTTCAAAATTATTTTTTACAATAGGCTATATTAAAAGTTGGTTACATTTTTTCTTTTACAGGAGATCTATAGAGACCGTAAGAAGTTCAGCAAGCAGGTGTTTGAGGTTGCGTCGTCCGATCTGGTCAACATGGGTATCACCGTGGTGTCGTACACGCTCAAAGACATCAGAGATGAAGAGGTTAGTGCTGTTCTAGTAACCTATCTGATTCTGTATTTTTCAATATATTTGTTGTCGTTAGATTATTAAATTAAAACTTTGTAAAAATCCATGGTCAAATTAATAAAAACAGTGGTTACTATTGCCATTGCCTACTAATTTTGTTTGTAATCAAATACAAAAATTACTGTCCTTTGAAAACCCTGCCCAAAACCTTATGGAATGTTAAACATTGTGTTTGTGAGTATCCTGTTTATAAAGAAAAATAATTTGTGTCCACCCAATTCAAAACCCCTCCCAAAATCAATTTAACTTCTTTAGCGTGCAATTGGTGATGGTATTTTAATGTTGAAACGAAACCCTAAAGAATAAATTTTGTTTAAGAAGTATCCAAAATTCTTAAGAAGCTGCTAAGATGTTGATCAATGCTAAATTATAATGTTGACATAAGAAACAGCTGATTAGTCAGTAACATTGCTACAAACAAATTTTACCCAAATCACACTATCCTTCATTAATATGTCGGAGCATGTATAGTTGCACCCTAATCTCTGATTGTAGTTCAGCGATAAAACCTAGTGATATCTGTACAAAACCGCATGCTGAAATAATTATTTCTGTATTTTAAATAATTGTACAATTTGATTACTATCACAATTTGTGTTTTTTTATTGTATTATAAATTGTATGTCTTAATAACACGATGTACTTACACTTACACTGTATTCACATAAGTGAAAGAAGCGTGATGGTCTAGAGGTATATCACAAGGTCCCTGAGGTCTCGGGTTAAAATCCTGCCAATCACCAATGGATTTTATCAATGTAATAATGCCGTGGTTGTCTAAGCTAAGCGTTAAATGTGTAGAGTTGATCTGGACTAAAACCTGCACCTAAAGATGTGAAGGATCGGGCATAAAAAAGAAGAAAATACATAATGCTACATATAACTATGTACCTAAGAGTCACCTATTGCTTTAGAAGATGATTTCAGCTATACGATCAACAGACTTGCACAACGGAAGTGAAGCATCTCTGTTTACAGAACAGCACCAGACACGTGTAGCCATTGTGATTTTCGCTCTATTATCCAACGCTTCTGAAATCTTATTTAAAATTGAGTGCTCACTTTTAGAACAGCGCAATTAAGTAAGACATCGTACCCGTTGGCAGATAGACTCAATCTCTTGTACTCAAACCACAATTTGTGGTCCAATAGTAGTGCTCTGTTACTGCTCTTGTGATTGCCGTCTACAACAGGGGTAAGACCTCAAGTTACCTGTGTCTTACACATACCCTAAGAACATGTAGTTATGTGGCTGCTAAAGCCTCTTATGTAGTCTAGTTTAAATTTAGACCGTAAAAAAAACAATACATATTGTACCGCTTTTAGTAAAGAGTGCTCTCCTGCACATAAGATTTACTGGCTTGAGGTATTTAGTCTCTTAGGTTTTCAAAATAGGTGGACCCACAAAATCAAGTGTGCCCCTAAACACCTTGGACAGTCAAAAATAATTTTTGATTGGCAGAATTTGAACCCACGACCTCAAGGACAGAAGTCCCACACTTTAACAACTAGGAAGCGCCTCTTTTGCAGCTCCATAAGACTATGTCTTGCATAAACTTTAACTAGTTTCAGTCTGTTTCATGTTGAAACAATACTTTTACAAATTTAAACACTTTATTTGGTAACTTTTGGAACCTGGAGTTTCTGAGGCAAAGTTGTTATGTAACTGCAGTTGGTGAAGCATGAATACTCAAATAAATATTTGCATGCAAAGTGTTAAGAAATTCAACTTAAAGTTCGGCTTTTACGGTTTTAAGCATTTGTGCATTAATATAGTTGATAGCTTAGATTGCATCTTACAATTCACAAGTATCCCGTGCATATTTCTTTTTGGTTTGTTCCTCCACACAAACTTAAATTCCTATAGTTTAATGCACAATTTTCTTTTAGACTCAGTAGGCAAGTATAATGTAGAAAACGTCCTTGCCCTTTTTACCATTTTATTTTCATCTCACATGATTTGTATTAAAAAAATCATAAGTCTAATGGTTTTGTTGGTTGATTTTGTTTTATGTTTTCTCGCTGCGGGCAGGGAGCGAAGGTATGTTTTCAATTCTGGGACATTGTGGCTGTGGTTTAGGTTTATACTTGCCTGCTCGTTTTTTTTCACATAGTTTTTTTTTTGGTGATTGGTTTTTCTTATTAACAATCTTTTATTTCTGTCTAAGATTGCACAAAGTCATTAAAGCTAGGCAAACTTGGATATTATGTCATATTATTCTAGAAAATGGAGCTTATGCCAGTCAAAGTCATGAACATTATTTATTTGTTCTTAATAATGTTCATTACCAACTTAATCACTTAGACTTTAGAACTAATTTCACCTTTAGGTTATGTATAAAACACCCTTTTTTTGCTTTGCTACTAACAGTTTTAAGCTAACCACTAATTAAACATAGGCACTTACAGATTTTATCCGTCAGCTTTTATTTAGGTTCATTGTACTTTGAGATTAATGCAACTAACTAGAACAATATTGATACAAATGTCTGCTTGTCAGTTAATTGCAAATTACATTTGTAAAATGGACCATAAAGAAATAGAGAGGTTCACAGTTGAATAGTTCCACCGAACAATGTTTCAAGTGACAAAAAGTTAATAGTTTCAGAAAAAATAAAAACATTTGTAATGCCAGTTTCCTGCGCATTCAGTGCTGCCAACCTATCTGTTTTTTAAAAACAAAATATCCCACGCAGTAGAGTGTCTCATTTGCATTGTTGTTATTAAAAAATCTCAATTTCACAAATTATGTTGTTTCATTCAACAGTCAACATTGAAACTGTCAAACAACCGAACATGAAACCCACATATAGATCAGCTTTAGTCTGTACAAAATGAATGTTTACTTGCAGTATCCAAGGTCAACAGTCAAACCAAATAAATAGCCTTGGTTCTGTGAATCGTATTTAATTTGGTCTGAATCAGCTAGGCAAGATAAAATACACAAACAATCTTACTGGGATATATCTTACTGTGTGTGTGTTCAATTGTACATAGCTGACAAGTTCTTAAATATCCATCTCTTGGTTTGATCATAGATAAAACATACCCTTAATAGATTTGTCATCCTTATGGAACACTGACGCCAATTTTATTGTTAGTTCTGTGTGTCGCACTATAGAGGTCGTGTTTTGTTTACAAATTGTTTCTTGTTATTTCAGTCATTTAACACCTCATTTAACCAAATAAAACGATCTTATTATAAACAATAACTGGTCCCCTTGTTATTATGTATTTAACTAAACCGTAAAGCACAAATCATTAAATAGTCCTAAAATAATGGAAACAAAATTCCGTCTACACTAGCTATCAGTGTCGACGTACATGAACTAGACACGAAAAACTCGCTTAAAAATTTACAATGGGATGAGAAGTCTAATGGTTTGATAGACTCCCAAGAAAAATGTGCTGTTTGTTTTGCATGGAATAATGAGCTAACTTATTTTCCTTTCGCTTTGTTTAAATTGTTATAGACCCCTTGGGAAATCCTCTGTCCACTTCTTAAATTTTATATTACGGCAAAACTTTTACAACCATCATGCGAAAGAAAGCTATGGCTACACATTACAGAGTAAATCATCCGTGTTTCTATTTTTGATCTTTCAGTTTTGCATACTTTCGTAACTGATGGGGGATGTGGTTTACAGTTTTCCCTTTTAGTTTGCCATGATTAATAAGTTCCAGTAAAAATAGTATATTTCATCACTAGAACTCTTTTTGACCCGAGGTCAAGTTTTACGATCGAGGCAAAGCCGAGGTCAAGTTTTACGATCGAGGCAAAGCCGAGGTCGCAAAATGGGCGATGGTTAAAAAGACACTTTTTGCCTGTGTGGTGAACTATTTTTCGTCATATTGTATCATTATTATAAAATACTAAGCTTGAAAACGAAATAATTGTTATGTAAAGATAACCTCTCAAAACGATTTCCAACTTGTTTTCAATTCTGCTAATGCAAATCAGCAGCTGTTTAGTAAGTGATTCAATAATTTCGTCTATTACGATTGTACACTATACTAGATTATATGATCGATATGTCGAGCTATCGGCAACAATAGGCTAAAACCTTCCCTAATGAATCGATTGAAAAATAATTTTGATCAATACGATTGTCACAATCAAAATTTTCTAACTGTTTACAACAGCTGATTTTCACTCCTTAGAGACTAAAAATTATTTTTACTCCCTAGAGAGTAAAAATGCTACTTTAGCCCCGCTACACATGCATTACAAACAGCTGTTTTTGCTGCAGTATGAAAAAAATTATTTTTGTATACTAGCTCACTCTGACAGTTGCTGAATTAAACTAAATTAGTTTTACTTTTAAATCGGCTACAAATTTAACACGATAAATGAACACGACTTCACACTAGTTTATCTTTATATAAAACTGTCCTGTTTAATAATGTTCAGACATTTAATTTAACCATGGTTTTGCACTGCTAAGATGTTATAATGGCTTTGTAACATTACATTAGAGCTTAGAGCACTTTGTGGATAGATCATCACTTCATGTTGTGTCCTCAGACCATTGTGTCATAACCCACTAAAGCACATTAAAATACTAGTTTGGTGATTCATTCGGTGCTGTCATCTTTTGACCTATGTTAAACAATATTCTAATGATTTTAGAGGGGGAGGATATTTATACTCGATGACATACATAGTTATACCTCATTTTCAATTGAATTACCGGTAGTTTACATGCAGATTTACTAAATATATAGGTTATATTATAAAAGATTGGCTAGTAAGGAATTTTTTAAAAAGGAATCAAGTTCGGCTGGTTTACCTGAGAAAATTCAGAGTTCAGGGGATCTATTGTAGTAGATACACAATAAAAGACACACAACATAACTTTGATATTTTTTCCTGATGTAGGACTTTGTCAAAAAGTAAGTTGAAAACAAAATCTGATCATAAAATTGAAGAAAATTTTCTCTTCAACCTACTGACTCTGAAGGAGTCCTAAATCAGGAGGAAATACCAGGGTTGTGTTTTGTGTTCTTTTTGTTGTGTAGCCTATACAGAGTGTTCAAAAAATTTGGGGACATGATTTAAGTAGTGATTCCTTGGGTCAAAATAAAGAGGAAATCATAGAAAAATCTAAAAGATTGAATAAGAAATACTGTAGCTGAAATATTACAATTTTAGTTGTAAACAGGGGCAAACCTGACTAGCTTCTGCTTTATTCTAAACAACTAAAAATCGTAATAGTTCAGCCATTTCTTGTTTGATTGTTTTAAACTTGGTTTCGTCTGATAGTGAATCAAAGATGCTAAATAAAAGTGTTCTTGACATTTTTTCATAAAATCTGTAATTTTTGAGTACCTAATTTAAGTTTAGAAAATTAAAATGGCCGCCATTTTAAAATTTTAAGTTGAATCAAGGTGATTTTTTTTTCTAACATGGGTTTCTTATACATTAACATACTAAGTTTCATAAAGATCGGTTGGAAAAATTTTAAGGTAAAAATGTTTAGACCTAGGTAAAAAGTACAAAATGGCGCATATCTTGTTAACAAAGCGATTTTTTGAAAAAAATGTTATACTTGATTTTATGCTAATAGCATGGGTAAACTAGCAGCTCATAGCAAAAATTTATGAAACTAGACACAAACAACTTTTGGAAATTCCAAGCCACAGATTAGCTTTGTTTCACAATGGACCCTATTATCAATGCATACAAGTCTACAACAAATTGTCCTTTTATTTCACAGACCAGTCATTGAGCCTTAATAATTTTAAAAAGAAACTTTCAGAAAAACTGATTGCACTTTGTCCTTATGACATGAATTCATTTTTATCCTGTCAACTGTAATCTTAATATTTGTATGTATTTATTATGTGTAAACTATTTATAATGCATGATTTGTACTGACATGTCACATATTCATTGCTGATATTCAGCCTCTGTACTATGAATTTTTGTGATGAATAAATTGATTTGATTTGATTTTATTTGATAATTTGAATGTTATTTTGTTACTTAAATTGTATACAATGATTATTCAATTGGTTATTTTTCATTTAAATTTGGTTATTCCTGTAAACCCACTTTTTTGGGAAGTCTGTGGTGTTTACTTTTGACTGAAATTGAGTTTGTGCGCCACCGAGGTGCATGTCGGAATTAACGAGTTAAGTGTACAGATAGAATGAGGTTGAGATACAGTTGATTTTAGAAATTTATTTCTCTTTATCTTAGTTTTATATCAAGCTTCAAATGTAGGTTTTTTAATGGTTTATTTCACATTAATGGAGGTTAATGAATTCATTAAACATGTTTGTAGTTTGTCAACATTTTTGCATACACATTTTATTCAGAGTATTTTAATGGACAGCTTTAAGGGGTTACAAATAAATCATATCAAGTGTAGAGTGAATTTTAAAAAATGTTTAAGTGTTGTGTGTTTTCCAGGGATATCTGAAGAGTCTGGGGATGGCGCGTACTGCTGAGGTCAAACGAGACGCAAGGATCGGGGAGGCGGAGGCTCGAAAGGATGCTCAGATCAAGGAAGCCATGGCAGAGGAGGAGAGGATGGCTGCCAGGTAAACATTGCTTCTACCAAGGTTATGTTTACCCATTGACATACCTAAGTTGCACTGCCTTAAAACTTACAAAAGCAAATGTAACTTCCTTATTCAATTACTTTGTCTTAAATTATTATCTTCCTCCTCACAAAGATTGGAAGACAACCCATAATTATATATACCGGTATTTTTCACTTGATCGTAAACAAGACAGTTGCGGCATTTTGACACAAAACATAACCTCAATACTCTCACTCGTTTACTAATGTTTTCCCAAAACAATTTAGGCAAATAAAGAAACTAAAAAATATATACACAATAATTATTGCAGATAGACAGAAAAAGATTATTGACCCGATAAGTATTTTTTCTTTTTTGTCCTAGGACGCTAGGCTCTATCCCACCATCATTATTCACATTACTTCAGGCTAGCCCTAAGGCTTGCGGCATTACCACTTAGATAAAATTTATTTGTTATTGGTGGGATTTGAACCCGAGACCTGAGGGACCGAAGTCCCACACTCTACCACTAGATCAGCTCACTCCCCATTGACCCGACTAGTGATCCCTAAAAATTCATGTTGAACTAGCAATATGCCAACAGAACAGTTTCCTCAAGGAATGCCAGAGTGCATTAGCAGCGGGACAGAAATGTTCTCGTCAAGTATGCCAATGGGTTAAGCTTGGCAACCCACAGTTCTACATACTTCTGTTTTTGTCAGTCTCTTCAGTGAGTTGATACAGAACAATTATTGATGGATTCCAATTGCATTTGTGTTAAACCTAGCATTTCACATAAGGTTAAGGACGCAGCCTTGAAGTAAAGTATACTTTGTAGCTTTTTCCTTAAAGCTTTCCTAGGAGAATTACCAGTCTCCTCTCCCCCCACCAAATTACTATACACCTCAGGTCACATTTTGGTGAAAAACTATGTGTTTTGCAGATTCTTGAACGATACTGAAATAGCAAAGGCACAGCGAGATTTTGAAATCAAGAAAGCAGCATATGACGTAGAAGTTCAAACAAAGGTAAAACTTTTCTTTATATTTATTTTTTGTAATTAATAAAAAAAACATTGGAGGATATTGTGAAGAGTGCAATCATTTGTTTAAAAATGTACAACCTAATGAAGTTAATTATTCAGCCTATTAATATTAGCCTATTTGTCTTTTTCAGTAAACAGTTATATAGACCTTGATAACAATTCTCTTATAGGAATCATCGAATAAGACTTACTAGTGTATCGGTTGCTCGAATTTGAGCAATTGCTAAGTATTACAGGCGTTATTTTAAAACGAATAACAGTCATAATTTCTGATGACTTTAAAACATTCAACTCAAACATTATGGAAATACTCAAGATGTAGCCTACATAACAGATCGATATAATCAACATTTCTTGAAAATATCTTATCATTTTTCAAAAGCTGATCTTGTTTTTTAGTGTTTTCTACAAATAGCCTTACTCATAGCCACTGTAATATTTACGCCAACCCAAATTCAAATGGTTCAACCAAGTCAGTAAATGTTTGTAGCAAACTGTTAAATTAGCAAACATATTGACTGTTTACAATCAAAATATGTTCTTCTTCTCACTTTTAATTTCTGACAACAGCTGGAGTTTCATAACAATTTTTGTTTGCCATGTTAATCTTATGGAGAAATACAAAACTTTAAAGGGCCCCAGGGCCTAACTCTCTAATTATTTTCCTAAAAAGAAAGTGTCCTGCTCAGTATAACTAGTTTTCTAGGTTATAGACAATACAAGATGGCCGCTAAACATGCTAATGTTCCTGAACATGCCTCTACGGTACAAGCTCTCAAAATTCTAAAAGTAATTTGTTTCCAATGATTGTGTGCTTGTTGTGCTCTTAACATATCAGAGCTTGCAGTGGGTGGAACAAAAATAATTTTGAAAAAATGTCAATATTGTTTCCACAATAATTCTGGATTGCTTTTTATATTGCAGAAAGCTGAGGCAGAAATGGCGTACGAACTGCAAGCAGCAAAAACAAAACAGAGAATCAAGGAAGAACAGATGCAGATCAAGGTTAGTCGTTGTTTGAATACCTTTGTAATAATTGCTTTTTCCCAAAGACTTGACACTGTATTTCACTGTATCTTCAAGGGTTTACAGGCAAGCTTTCTACTATGGTTTTTATTCTAGTCTCAATGTTTACTATTAACATTGCGCAGGTGGTAGAGAGGACACAGGAGATTGCTGTGCAGGACCAGGAGATACAGAGGAAGGAGAAGGAGCTGGAGGCGATGGTCCGTCGACCTGCGGAAGCAGAAAAGTTCAGGTAAGACAAACGGGATTACGCGCCTCTTGTTTGCCTTATACTCTAGATCTGAATACAATGATAATATTTGTTGAACAGGGTAGCTCAGTAGTGTTTGGATGATAAGCGAGACTGTAATGTCTTATACTGCATCTGCAGTAATCAGGGCCGGTTTAACCCATACGCGAACTACGCGGCCGCATATGGCGCCACAAAAAAGTGGCGCCGACGGAACAATTTTTTTTACGTGAACAACGTATGGTAATTTTGTTTTTTTCGCTCAGAGTTCAAGTTTTAAAGCACCACAATGAAGGCATTTATTCTGTTTGTACCAACAGCACTTGAAAAATGTGTATATTTGTACAGCACTACAACTCAAGGACTCAATGCCATTTTCAGTTTTGATTGTAAAGAGCTGACGCTAGGCAGCGTACGGCGCGGCGCCTGTGGGTTTCATTTCACGACTCACTCATGCTCGAGAATCGAGAATGATAAGCAAGCGCGCAGCGCCACTTGTCACAACAAGAAACTTCCCCCTTCCTTCTGCCTCTTAGTCTTATCCTAGAGCAGAGCATTACGTTGTATTGCACTCTTTTAGTTTTATACGTATACCGTATCGGCATCGTATTGGCATTAATTTGATGATTGATGATTGTTGATAAGTGAATGATTACGAGTGTTTTAAGTTTAATTTATAATTAGTGCATTAAATAAGAAGAAAGTATAAACTGAATAAATGAGTAAAACATCTTGCGAGCCGATACTAAGAAAACAATGGCAGAAAAAAAGAAAACGTCTGGCACTTATTATAGAAAGCGTAAGGCAAATTTGGAAGAGGAAGATAAAAAACAAGCCAAATCAATGAGTAGATTTTTGTTGGAATTATCTGGTGGCGAGTCCAGTCAGCCCAAAGAAGTCACGATAGAAGACGGCAATGACGAATTTATTTATTTTCCAAGGAAAGATTAAAACAGGCAGCTGATCACAAACGGCAAACATTACGTCATTGCCGTCTTCTATCGTGACGTCTCATGCTTGACGAGCATTACTGACTGTTTTTTTAATGTGGCCTTGGTTTTGCTAGTTTATATGATGAGTAAAAGTGTAAAAATGTTAAATTTCTGCGAATAATAAACAGTCTTTTATTGCAAGTATTCTTCTAACCTAAACTTATAAAAAAGTTCTTCCAAAAATTATTGGGAAAAAATTCACAAATACGGTTAAGTTATGTTCATGGGTTGGGGGAGAGGGGGAATTCTAAGTGGCGCTGATTCGGGTGTTCGCTTAACTCTGAAAAATTCCTAGAACCGGCCCTGGCAGTAATCACTACTATGGTTGTATAAGTTATTTCCTAACCCGAAAAGAAACTTTACTCTAGACCAGAGGGTCTATGATGATTGGTAGTTGAGTTTGCGATATACTTTTTAGAATTAAAAAAATTGAAAGTGTCTTTCAAGAACTAAGTAGTTTGTTTAAAGGAAAACTTGGCTTTAGATTTATTGATTATTGTTAACGAGAAAGGAAGAATACACAACTAACTCACCTGAATCAAGAGCCCCAGGGGGTTAACAGAACACATAACTACACATTAAACTGGTATGTGTTCTATTAAAACCCTCTGGGACTCTTTATTCAAGTGAGTTAGTTAGTTGTGTATCCTTCCTTTCTCCTTAACAATAATTCAAGAATTAATTAGTTGATTTTAGCGAATTTCCCATATAGGGAATAAGCTATTACCGTAGTACTCATGGTAAGACCTGGACTCGGGACCGATTTATTTTTTCGTTTTGAGGTCCCTAGAGGCCAAAAACACCATCCGTTCAAATTCATATATATATATCTTCTAATATATAAAATTCTCGTGTCACAGTGTTTGTCTGCAAACTCCTCCGGAACGACTTCACCGATCGTTATGAAATTTGGTGTGTAAATTCTGTAGGTATGCGAATCGGACGTAAACTATTTCCCGTTTCGAAATTCTTAAAAGGGCTCCGCCCTAGTGGCTCTGGAGTTTCCCATGTTAACCTTATGAGAAATGGAATTAATGAATCTTAACAGCTGTTTCAATTAAACAAGTTGGTTCTGTTCTATGATGTTCAATAGCATTAAAGTTACAAGGATTACCAACAGGGTGCAGCACTATTATTTCTTTTACATTTATGACAACAGCTAATTTGCAACCAAAAGGTGAGTGAGCGTAGCGAACGAACTTCAACCTGGAGGCGAGTTAGCGTAGCGAACGAGCTAACCTGAAGGCAAGTGAGCGCAGCGAACGAGCTCCAACCTAAAGGTGAGTGAGCGTAGCGAACGAGCTCCAACCCAAAGGTGAGTGAGCGTAGCGAACGAGCTCCAACCTAAAGGTGAGTGAGCGTAGCGAACGAGCTCCAACCCAAAGGTGAGTGAGCGTAGCGAACGAACTTCAACCAGGACGTGATTGAGCGATGCGAATGAGATCATCTTGAAAATTAAACGTAACGGTACTTTCTATCCATCGGTCTGTCTTAGGGGAAACCTATAACTTAGGTGATACGAAGTTCGCCGGGTCAGCTAGTATATATATATATTTATATATATATGTGTCCGTTAGCACGATAACTCGAGCAAAAAGCATCCGATTTTGATGAAATTTGGTACAAACGTGTAAACCTACATTTATTCAAACGAGTTCGCGAACCAGCATGATCGGACTATGGGAACGGGGGTTTATGGGGGGTTTTGTGGGGTAAAAATAGGTTTTTCCCATTTTTGACCCTATAAACACAAAATTTTACAATTTCTTTTCACACCATTTTGTAGAGCATAAAAAACAAATAATTTAATATATTGAAGCGTTATTGTGCGCCTAATGGTTATGGAGAAAATTCCAAGAAACTGTAAATTTAAAATCCCCATGTTATTCTTATGGAGAAAAAGTCAACTGTTGTAGTTTGCTTGTTTATGAACATATTTTGATCGAATTTGGAAAATACATTAATTTCTTACTAACCTATTAACATAAAAAAACCACCTTTTTACCCTCCCTGTTGCAGCAAACCTAAGTACTCGTTTAACTAATTCTATTTAAATAGGGAATAAATATGATATTTTTAAGGAGGCATTTTAGTGTAAATCCTATCAGGCTAATGGAAATTCGCTTAGTCTGCAGGTTTGCTGCGGTGGGGGTATTAGTCTTGTGTCCATTACTCTAGGTGGTACAATAATACTTAAACTAACTTTGACACTTAAGAGGAAGATAAAAAACAATTGCAACTTTGTGCCATACCGCTTCTGTCCACAATCATTGAATATGAAGCTACGATAGTTCTAGTGACTTAAGTCTTGCATAGGAACCTTTTCTGATCCTGCCACTTATTGTAATTGTAAAGTAGATTTTGTTGTTTTTATAATAATATAAACTTCTATGCACTATTTCTGTCTTATCATAATTTGGTCTCAATATTGTGAACAGGTAATAGAAGTTCTACTTATATACTGTTTTAATATCTAGAGTAAAAAAATTGTAGATTCAAAATTTAACCGTCCTCTATTGTCCTCAGGCTGGAGAAGATGGCTGAGGCCAACAGACTGAGGGTGGTGATGGAGGCAGAGGCCGAAGCCGAGTCTCTGAGACTACGAGGAGAGGCCGAGGCATTTGCAGTGCAGGCCAAGGCCAAGGCAGAGGCCGAGCAGATGTCCAAGAAGGCTGAAGCATTCAAGGAGTACAGAGAGGCTGCTATGGTGGAAATGCTGTTGGAGACACTGCCTAAGGTGAGGTCTATAAATTTATAATCTTCAAAGATTATTTTCACCTGACATTTGATTGGTTCATTTGAATTATAATGTCAATTTTTGGTGAGGATAAGTATATTGGTAAGTATATTAAGTTGGTCAGTCTCGTTTCAGTCACTATCTTGTATAGACATGTACAAAGTGTTCACCTCCCCTTTATTCATACTCATATTATTTTCTTTCAGGAATTTTTGTTTTTTATTTTTACTACCCTTCCTTCTCTGTGTATTTTTTTATTTTCAAGCTTTGGCAGGGTTTGTTGACTATGTTTGATGTACTTTTTCACCTGATAAGATCCAGATCCTGAAACTTTGTAAACACTTTTTTACCAATTTTTGTTTATTTCCGCAGATGGCAGCAGAGGTGGCTGCGCCGCTGTCCCAAGCCAAGAAGATCACGATGGTGTCGGCCGGCAACGGTGAGGTTGGCGCTGCCAAGCTCACCGGAGAAGTTCTACAGATCGTCACCAAAGTGCCGGAGATGGTCAAAAACATGACCGGGGTCGACATTATGAAGGTTCACTTAGCCAACTTTAAGTAGGGTCATCTTCACTTCATTCATCAACTGCACGGATCGTCTGCATACCATCTCATAGCCGTAGAGTAGTTTTGACTGTTGCAAATATAAAATGATTTTAAATTAGTTAGGTACCCGTATCTTTGTTCTATCCCCAATGTAAGCGGTTTTTTAATTGAGAAGAGTTTTTTAAACTATTACTGCTTGGTTTTACAATTTTTTCCCTTTTTGAATAAGTAATTTGATTTTAAATGGGCTTGTTTTCTTTAACGTTCATATTGAAGCAAAAATATTTAAAAAGCTATCATAATTTGCTATTATTCATGCTTAACTTAATTTCTGATAACCATTCAAAATTAATTCCTTAATTTTGTTTATGATCAGGCATTGATTTTATAAGTATTTTATATTTGTAACAAGTGGAATAGTCATATACTAGATACTTTATTATGTTTTATGTCAAAGTACAATTTAGCTAGTAAACATACTTTAGGTCGCCTTATCAAAATAGGATATTAAGTTGTGTCTGTATGTTGTTTTCTTTTAAGTTTTCTTCTTCCTTTTACCTTTTAGCTGTTCAATATATTAAGTTTTTATAAGTTTTTTGTAGTTGATTGGCTATTTTTTTTTTATCTTTACATTTTGTATTTTAATAGCAAATCCTGATCAAAAAAGATAATTTTAACTAAATGCGATTGGGACTAAGTTATATTTTTACAACAAAAACTTTATATAACTTTAGAACTAGAATATCGCAAGAACTTTTGTTCTCTTTACATTATTAGTTAAACATATTTGTCTTAAATTATTTTAAAATTTAAAAACGACTGTTTTAAGATTGATGGATTTTCAAATCTTCAGAACTAATTCTGATGTTAACTCTGGTTTCTGACCTTATTTTCCTTTTATTTTGAACTCCTATTAATACATAGATATTATTTGTGTGTTTGTGTTGTTATAGTTTAGATATTGTATAGATTGAACTTGTAGAAGCCCAGTATCAAAAATCATGTGCCAAAATAACTTGTATTTAGTTTAGTTTTTAGTTTTCTTTAGAATAAGTTAATCCCCATGACCTTTATTGATTATTTTGTCTACAACAGTCAATATATAGTCATTCATAGACATTTGATTTTAGGTTTTTAAAACTCCATGCAAACTATCGTGGATATATCTCATCATGTATATTTCCTATAATTGTTTTATACAATGTTTATCTAGTTTGTTTTACTATAAATCATGAATGAAATTGTAAAGAGTATTATTCGTAAATCTATTTGTGTAGTAAATAAGGTGACGAGGAACAGTACAAATAAATATTCTACAAATATCTACAATAAAAAAAAGATTTATTGAACAAAATTTCTTTTTTATCGCCAAACCTTTATAAAAACTATGCTGATCTTTAGTAGTTGGGCAATGGTGTTAGTTAAACCTGAGGTATGTATCTTTTTTGTAGATAACAAATTTGTAAAAAATTCAGAAAAGTTTAATGACCCATCTTTTTTATGCATTTAAATAACAAAAGTTGTTACAAAACAAAAGATGTTATCAGAGGTGATTATGAAATTGTTGTATCCGGTACTCTTTTATTTAAAATAATAATTACCAAGCTAGAATATTTATAATGTCTAGGTCAAAAAGATTGACAGGAATGTAGATTTGTTTAAACCACATGTATGTATTTTTGAGCATGAGCGTAAGAACTGTGTGGATAGAATACTGTTCAGGGGTAAAATAATCTTTTTACTTGTGAAATATTGTGAAGTTTAAATCTGTAAAAATCTGTGAACCTCATAGCTCAATTCTCGTTTCCTTGATCCTGATCCATATTAAAAACCCAACCCTTTAATCGTGTAGAATTTAGTTTGAAAGAGGTTTGGCTTTTTTGCGTCTTTTTTACTAGTAAAAAGACTAGTGTTGCATGTAAAAGGGTTTAAAATGGTCACTGAATGTCTGAGACATTTTAAAAGTTCTCAATATATCAGATTAGTCTATTTGTAGCATACTAATCATCCATAGAGGCCCAATTAAATAACTTTTTTTTATAATTATTTTGCTTTATCATTAGAACTCTGCAGTATTTTTTTCAGTTTTTATGCAAACATTTAATAATTTACATTGCACTTCATTCATAAATCATCATCAAACATAACATGTCATATTTCATCTCCAAATATTTTAAACATAACCTCAGTCACAGAAAACATACTACTATAACCCAGAATGCGAACCGCATGGTAAAAAGCATTAAGTACTTTGAGAGAGCTTTGCCTGTCAATTCGTAGGCAGCGCCACCAGCGTTGCTATGCACTCAGCATAGCAACGCTGGTGGCGCTGCCTATGAATTGACAGGCAAAGCTCTCTCAAAGTACTTAATGCTTTTTACCATGCGGTTGGCATTCTGGGTTATAGTAGTATGTTTTCTGTGCTTTAGTTTACGTTGGGGAGGCGTAGTTCCTATCTTCGTAATGTTAATGTAAGGAACATTTTCTCAAAAAATATTTAACAGAGTTGACATTTTTACTTAACATCAGTCACACCTTAGTATATGTGCTGAGTTTTTATTAATGTCTTACACATTTTTTTTTTAACAAATAATAAATTTAAACATTTTTTAATAGTTTATATTATAATATTGACAGTACATAGGGTGTTTCAAAAAACTAAGTTAATGTGAACATTTGACCTACAGACTGTTTAAAAATTACAAGCTGATATGTAAAATACTTTTGGAGAAAAGGTTCCTTTTGTGGCAAATATTAGGATTTTCGGAAAACAAGTATAAACCTAACTGTAGCAAATGAATTACTTACTTTTAATTCATTCCGCTCATATAGGCAGGGGTTTCTTTATGAATTTTTTATTCAATGAAATGAATTGCAAACCTATACAGTGTGTAAATTAAGTCTGGCACACATTTTTTATCTTTTTTTCCATAGTAGATAGAAGAAATCAATTTGCGGGACTGATTAATAACAAATGTTAGGCACTTTTTACAAATTTTGAAAATAAAAATTCCCTTAAGGGCAAGGGGGGGTGGGGGGTAACTAAAAATTTTCAAATGACAACCCCCATCTTGTGACCCATCATTTTAAAGGTCATTGGAAGACAAATCCAAAGATGTGTCTGAAAAAATTTTTTTTGCACCCTATCCAAGATGGCGGTTTAAAATGTACTTAGGGTTGAACGGGTAAATTTGGTATGGCACACATTTCTTATCTTTTTCACTCTTTGTAGATTAGAAGGAATTAATTTGCGGGACTGAGTAAGAACAAATGTTTCACACTTTTTGGCATAATTTTGAAAAAAAATTCCCCCATAGGGTAAGGTGGGGGCGGGGGGTAACTAAAAACTTTCAAATGACAACCCCATCTTGTGACCCCTCATTTTAAAGGTATTTGGAAGACAAATTTAACGATGTGTCTGAAAAAATTTTAATGTGTTTCAGACTTAATTCACCCGTTCAACCCTAAGTACATTTTAAGCCACCATATAAGACAGGATGCAAAAAAAACTTTTTCAGACACATAGTTGAATTTGTCTTCCGAATACCTTTTAAATGAGGGGTCACAAGATGGGGGTTGTCATTTGAAAATTTTTATTTACCCCCCACCCCCACCTTACCCTTAAGGGGAATTTTGTCAAAATTATGAAAAAGTGCCAAACATCTGTTCTTACTCAGTCCCGCAAATTATTTCCTTCTATCTACAAAGAGTAAAAAAGATAAGAAATGTGTGCCATACCTAATTTACCCGTTCAACCCTAAGTACATTTTAAACCGCCATCTTGGATAGGGTGCAAAAAAAAATTGTTCAGACACATCTTTGGATTTGTCTTCCAATGACCTTTAAAATGATGGGTCACAAGATGGGGGTTGTCATTTGAAAATTTTTAGTTACCCCCCACCCCCCTTGCCCTTAAGGGAATTTTTATTTTCAAAATTTGTAAAAAGTGCCTAACATTTGTTATTAATCAGTCCCGCAAATTGATTTCTTCTATCTACTATAGAAAAAAAGATAAAAAATGTGTGCCAGACTTAATTTACACACTGTATATTGTATGTCAATGGACTCAGAAAGACTTGTAATTTCATAATATGCAATAAAAAAATATTGAAAATTTTTTTGCCGTACGCCTCCCTTTTTTTATATAAGGTTTTACTAGCTGACAAATATACTGTTAGCTGTATTATTTGTCAGCCAATGAAAGCTAATACATTTGGAAGGAAAGTTTTTTTATCTAAAAAAAACTTCAAATAGCCTAGTAGAACTTTCACTGAAACAGAAAAAAATTAAATGCCATTTCAGCTGAGTTCTGTTGCCATTTTTTGTGAGTTGTATAGTTAATATTTTGTTCATTTAAGTTACAGTTTGCTCTCTATGATCCGACACACTTGGCTATCGTATTTGTGTTCTGATTGGACTGGATATTGATCAATATCAATATAAAATGTCCGTTTCCTTGCAATATTCTGTGACAGGATAATAGGAAGCTACAAGCGTACCAACATTTTATACTTTAAATACAGGTTACTTAACGATATTCAGACCTATAATCCATTGCTGTATGCAAATGTTGATAAACTAAATTAAATTATGTGATTTTTAAGAAATCAGAAATCTTTAGATGTGCCTATAACTAATAAGTTACCCACTAGTATTCAAAGAGTATATAAAGGAAGGCATTATCATTAACTTTTATGAGCTTATAGGTATTTTTGTCAGTAAACGGATACAGTAAATGCTTAAACTGAATAATTTGAATCTTTAATAGTCAAAGTAAAAAGTAGACTCTGTCCTTGGAGGCTAGTGGCCATCTTTGATGATTTCAAACAGCTGCTGAAGAGTTAATTATCATCCAAAAAAAAATAGCTTTTAAACACCAAAGTTATTATAATTTAAATATCTAGGATACTGTGGGATTAGAAATTTTCTTTAGGATTGAATTTTTTCCAAGGGAGTCCATGGAAGCCAACGGCCATCTTGGATTTGTCTGCCTTTAGAGCAATGTTAGTTTCAAATAGCCGCTGAAGAGTTAGTTATTTACCATATCAAAATATTATTTTCAAATACCAAATGGTTTGTAATTAGCCTCACACATAAGCCCCCACAAAGATTTAAGCTTCTAACCCCACAGTGCACTGTGAAATAAGAAATTTTCTTTGTAGTTTTTTAGTTGTTTTACAAGTTAGAATGTCTAGGCTCCAATAAAGACTCTATAACCTTGTAGTTTAGTTTTGTATTAATGT